AAGGAGTAGTATAGTGAGACAGGCTCTTAAGTAGGTACACATAAATAAGCATTCAACATACACATGTGTTTATGTTTAGTCTTTGGGTCCTTTATATAGGTATTGTATAGAACCTGTTATTTTGGTTTAATTGTACCAATGTATTAAGTGCCTCAGTAGATCATAGTTATCATGTTTGCTACACTCAGTCCCGGGTGATCTGCAAAGTTTGGAGATTTTACTATCAATCATGTAAAACATTATCTGACCCTGTCCATTTTAGTTAATGTATGCTACCATTAAATATGTCAAACTCTAGCAAAAGGTGGGCTTTACTAGCAGATCTCACATATCTTGTATAGTCCATTCATGCTAACTTTATATACACTGTTGCGACCTGTGGTGTAATGGTCAGCATTCTCGCCTTGTAAGCGAGCGGACCCGGGTTCGATCCCTGGGCAGGGTGAACTATGGGCAAGTTTCTTTATGCCATTTGCCTCTGTTTACCCAACAGTAATTGGGGACCTGGATGTTAATCGATTTTCGGATCGTATTCCAGGGTAATGGTTAGCCAGTGCAGTTGGCGAGTTGTCAGGTCTTCTCGGACTATTCCTTGACACTGGGCCATGCAACTCGTAAACTTAGGGTGTGGTTGTTGTGTTGGCTACAGCTTCTACACCTTGAACAAATTCACACCTAGGTGGCCCGTGGGCCGGCCATCCTCGTCACACGAGGGTCAACCATTATTATGTATACTGTATATACTAACAATATTTCACTAGCTAAGGATTCGAACTCAGGACCTCCGAGTGAGAACTGGGAGTGTTAAGCACTGCACCACAGGGGCTCTAAATGCTAACCTAGAATTTTTTACTCACACACCATACCTTCTCTTTCATCTTTGCAGCATCAAGAGCCTCACACGGGGTTGGCCTGAAGGAGTGATGAGCATTCCCAGTTCTCACTCGAAGGTCCCTGGTTCGAATCCTTGACTAGGGCGATATTGTTAGTACTGTGTGTGTGTGTGTGTGTATATATATATATATATATATACATATATATATATATATATATATATATATATATATATATATATATATATATATATATATATATATATATATATATATATATATATATATATGATATATATACAGGTATAATATATATATATATATATATATATATATATATATATATATATATATATATATATATATATATATATATATATATATATATATATATATATATATATATATATATATATATATATATATATCTAATATATAATTCATTATCATTTTCTTGTGTAGACTGCATAGTCAAGAGCAATTAGAGCAGCAGTGGAATCAAGACATCGCTTCTACAGGCTGTGCTTGCTGTCCAGTGGATGGTTGTCATCTCAACTTTCCATCTGTTGGTAGTATTTCCCTCCATTTTCAGCAGTGCAGTAGAAGTCCCAAGCCACAAGAATATGTTGTGTGTGAATTATGTAACAAGAAATTTGCCTCTTCTCGCATGTTAGATGACCATATTTATCATATCCATGAAGAGGCAAAGCAGAAGATTAGAATACGCAATTTAGATCCCATGGTACCAGATTATAATGTTAGAAGACATGTAGTAAATGAAGGAAATGAACTAGAAAGACAAAGGGAAGCTGCTGATACACCACAGATTTTTCACTCCCAGATGATGGAAGAAGAACTGGACCTTCAACCAGAATCTGATCGCCATTGTAAACAGAGAGATGTTTCATTTCATAGGTCCACAAACAATGAGTCTGATCCTTCATTAGTTGATTGTTATGTACCACAACATCAGGGATCCCGAACTCAGTATCATGTGTCCAAGAATCAGGCTTACCCAAGAGAGTTAATGAATGCAGGAGCAAGCACATACAATTCTCCTGGATTGATTCGTGCATATCATTCCACTCCCAAGCAGTTAAGAATTGTAGACTATGAAAAACAAAGAATATATGAAGGTGTTAATGTTTTTGATAACTCGTCTGCATTTCAGAGAGTACGCGAAAGAACTGGAGGTGAACAGTTAATTTCCTTAGCATTTGAATTAGATACAAAAGAACCCTCGGGGCTGTTGCATGAAGAAAGTAATGTTCTCCATGGGAAAGATGAAGTCAGAGAACAGTTAACTTCTGGTAGTCTTTACTGTAGACCTCTTGTTCAGCCAATTAGAACATTCGTGCATAAAAGCAATTCTAGTTCTCCAGTTTACCCTACTGCATCAGGTGTCAAACGAAAGTATGTTGAACATCATTATGGGAATGTCCATGAACCTCATAAAAATAGAAAATTTGGTCCTAAAATCTCATATACTACTGGGTATACTAGTGATGAAAGTGAGGAAGATGGAAGACATCAAAATCATGAACCAAGGGTTCGCCGTTCTCCTGGAATGCGTTCTTGTCCAAGGTCTTGTATCAAGACAGAGATTTATCCTCAAGGAGGGCGACCATTAAGGAGAGTTCAAAGTCCTCCTTACCAAGGCCGTACTGTAAAAAAAGAAAAAACACCAGTTTTTGAGCGGCATAGTATGCCAGACAATTCACATTTTGATCCTAGTAATGTAATCCCGTCTGTATCTGGAGGTATATGGGAGGAAGAAGAAGAAGGATTCTTTGCTGCTCCAGTTCGCATTAAAAAACGACAATTAGCAGAAAAAGCACAGCAGCTTGAAAGAGCTGAAGAAGCAGTGAAACAACAAGAGGAAGAAGCTCAAGAACGCACTTGGCGTGCTTTACACGAACAAGAAATGGCATTGCGGGAAAAAGAGGAGGCATTAAAACAACGGGAAGTAGCAGCTCAAAAGAAAATTGAACAGGCAGCCAGATTAATTGAGGAGTCTCGGAAGCTTGGAGATTCCAAAAAGTTTAAAGATGATAAAAACTTCTTAAATCCTCGTCCAACCAATTTAATTTCTTCAAACAGAAGGTCGTCTTCATCAGGATCTTATCAAAACGATCATACCCATATTGCTGAAGAGAACACAAGTGATGAACATGTTCATATTGCTAAACGTACAGATAGTTCCCTGGAACTGGGAGATCTTAGTAATTTGATGTCCACTGAGAGTGAAGCAATTGTTAGCCCAAGTACTTCACACAGTGAAATGTCAGTGAAGATGGGAATATTCTCTCATGGAACTTCAATTCCAGAAACACTTTGTTCAGATGCTTCATCTTCCAGTAACCAGCAACAAAGACTAGTAGAAAGTCACTCAGTTAATTCCTCATCCATATCAAAAATTTCATCTTTGCAGAAGTTAAAAGAAACAGCAATGAAAAGACATCTAAAAACTGTTGAAATGGGGTCTCCTCCAAGCAGAGAAATTCTGAGTAGTAAATCATTTAATAGGAAGAGAAAAAATCTAAACCCATGGGAGTTGAGTGAAACTATACCCAGCATTGAACCTTCAAAGGTAGTTAAAACTTATTCTCGTGCAAACAGATGCCGTGCTGTAACAGAAGCATCCGAAACTCTAGCACTCTCATACATACAGACAGAAGCTTGCATGCCTCCACGTGCTCACAGTGTGGCCCCAATAAGTCAGACATCAATAGCTACATTATCAGTCATGACCACTCCAGAAGATAATGGTGAAACAGTAATCAATGGTGGTGCTACAGTGACAATTACACCTTTGACATCAGGTGAAAGACCTCCTAGGCCTTTTAGTGCCATGCCTAATCTACAACCATCTCGACCTTGTGGTAATTCAGAAACTTGTGTTGTACCAAGATCACACCCTTCCCCATCTGCAGTCGGTAAACTTTCTCTTCCAGTGTCAGTGACTGTTATGTTGAAATCACATCATAAGTCATTGTCTTCATTGATACAGAATGACACATTTTCAGAATCAGCAAACTTCCCCAGTCATATGAATATAAAACCTGTTCCAACCCATACTGTTCAACCAAATTTAACTTTGAAAAATGAAATTGCCAGGGAAAAAATATCGGCTTTATCTCCTTCGGTTCAGGTATTTACTCGGAGTCCTCAGTCAGGCCAATCCGATCAAGGCTCTTTAAAATGTGAATCATTTAGATCGGGTACTACAATTTGCAAGTTGAGCAAAGGACGTAATCTGTCCATGACAACCCTACAAGGGATATCTATACCAGGATGTGATGAAAATAACCATTTTTCAAAGGGGGACGATGAATCAAGTGTATCGATCACAAAATGTAACCCAGCAGCTAGTGAAGCAGGTACCAGCTCCCAAACTACTTCCCAGTCACATTATGAAGCATTTGTAGTTTGTAGCTCAGAGAGAAATAAATCAGACTCTACTACTACAATAAATGTGTGCCCTACTAAAGATGAGAGTAGGATGCAAGAGGCACCACAAGAAAAAGAATACATAAATTCTTGTAAGACTAACTCATTACCTAGAGAACTTCATGGAAGTCCAAGGCAAATTCCACTGCCTTTCACTTCACAGGAGAGAGAGGATGGAAAATTTTTGTTAAGTTACACATCTCTCATACCTTGTGACAAAATCTCTACAGTACCTAACCAGGAATTAGTGTCAGTGTGCCATTCATCTCCAGGTCTTCAACAAGCACCAACTTCACATAATAACAAACTGCTAAAATCTTGCCCAGAAAACACAGTTCTTTACCAGACGTCACCAACTCGTTGCACAGAAACACCACCACAGCTACAAACACAAACATCTTATAGCAAATTATCCACACCACAAGCCCCATCACCAACAACACACCCACCATCACCACACCCACCATCACCACACCCACCATCACCACACCCACCATCACCACACCCACCATCACCAACAGCACACCCACCATCACCAACAGCACACCCACCATCAACAGCACACAGCACACCATTGCCAACAACACACCCACCATTGCACACCCACCATTGCCAACAGCACACCCACCATCACTAGCAGAAAACCCACCATCACCAACAGCACACCCACCATCACCAACAGCACACCCCACCATCACCAACAGCACACCCACCATTGCCAACAGCACACCCACCATTGCCAACAGCACACTCACCAACAGCACACCCACCATCACTAGCAGAAAACCCACCATCACCAACAGCACACCCACCATCACCAACAGCACACCCCCCATCACCAACAGCACACCCCCTATCACCACACCCACCATCTCTAGCAGCGCACCCACCATCACCAACAGCACACCCATCACCAACAACACAACCTTTTTCATCGACAACTCAACCATTGTCATCGACAACTCAACCAATGTCACCAACAACACAACCATTGACACTGACAACACAACCATCATTGCCAACAACTCAACCATCATCACCAGCAATTCAACCAGTATCACTCACAGCTCAACCAGTATCATTAGCACACCCACAATCTCCACCAATTTACCAGGAGTCACTAAATCTACAACCAGCAGTACATGCACCTTCAACACCACCACTAGCATCACCACCCCCTCACTCATCATCACCAGTTCCTCATTTTACAGCACCTGTATGCCATCCTACATCAGTTACATCTCACCAGTCATCATTTACATCACTTACACACCACTGTGTATCAGCCAGATCTTGCCAGGTATCAACACCCAGTCCGGTAGAAGCAACTGACCACCACCCGTCATCATTTTCAATCCAGACTACAGCACATTGTCAATCTTTTTCATCTCCCTTCCATACATCAACTGCACTCCTTGGTACAGGTACAACCATTTTACCTCAACAATCTTCCTCTACATCTCATCTTGTATCAGTTGAAGCCCATATGCCATCTCAGGTGCCTCTCAAAATGTTATCAGCAACATCATTAAACCCCCAGGAACCTCAAAAGAAAATAACATTAATTTCAAATGAAAACGTTTCAGCATCAGGCAAGATGTTATCATCAGTTGATTCTGAAGAATGTGATACGGAAATTGCATTGATTTCTGATAATGATGCCATGGTACTTAATAAAACTTTCAGTCAGTCTTGTCCTAAGTCACATACAAGTTATGAAATTTTACCTAAATCTCAGCAGATGCAGAAAATGCAACTACCTCTGAAATCAACAGAAATATTGCAGAATGCAACACAGGTGTCAGAATCTAATGCACTTCAGCTACCAGGAAAACACACACATCAAAAGTCAATGGAGTTACCATATGAAGACACTCCGGTAATTTGCCAGCCAATGGTAACTCTTCAGCAGGTGGTGCAGTTACCACAACAGGGACCACTAATGACTACCCAACCCACAACTAGTTCTGCCAATTTTAGTTTGAACGATATTGGTGTTCCCTTACCTGAACTTATTATACCTCAGATATTGGGTGAATTTGACCCATCAACTGGAACTTTTACAAGTAATAATCCAGTTTTCCTGCAGTCCATCCTTAACACAAGTTTAAATCATACTGCTAGGCCTTTGGCTTCCATAGATTCATCTCGAAATATGACTGACCAGGTGACATCGTACTCATCATCTGCCACCTCTGTAAGCCATGTAAGTGTGCAAATCCAAACTGAAGATTTTTCTGAGTGTGTTGACAAATTTCCTCAAAATCAGTGTCAGGAAATCTCTCAAGTTGAAAATCAGGTAAATGATGAGATACCAAATCATTTAATGGGAATGCAACAGCAGCAACAGATTTCATGTTCAGATGTAGATCAGCAGGTGTTGAAACTTAAAACTGAAAGTTTACAGTGTAGTCATGTCTCAGATCCCAGGTCAATTCCCGACAGCAGTGACATACATACTGGTATGACAGAATCTGAGCCTGTGGTACAAAAGAACACTAAAACAGAAAGTTCATTATCAGTAGACAGTGAACATTCAAATCCCTGTGAAGATGAAAATGATATATATGGCTCAACAATATTTGAAGACAGTGGTAGTGATTCTGAGGAAAGACACGTGTGGTTTCCCAAGATGCCAGAAGGTGAAGCTATTCTTGGAACACAATGTGAGAATACAAATGCTACAGGAAACATGCATGTTACAGATGCAGAGAATGAAGAAATATTGGGTGAAATCAGAAACACAAAGCAATCTGTAGATAAGTCAGTGAATGGAAAAATATTCAGAGAGAAAAAAGCAGATTCATGCATAGGGCAAGATACTGTAAAAAAAGAAAATAATGATTTAAATGCTAAGAAATTGCCTGTACCAGAGGATATTACAGCCATACAGTGGATGGGTGGAGCTAGAAGTAACGAGATTACCAAAGATTCTTACAAAAAGTATGTTGGTGTTAAAGATGCAATATCTGATGCAGTTAATGCACCTGGTTTGTATGAAATGTCAGAGGAGACAAATGTTGCCAAAGAAAGGGTCTCCAGTACAAAAAGTAAGGATGTGACATTAGGAAAAGAATCAGTTGATCCTCATCTATGGGATATGAAGTCGGAAAAAGAAAATGAATTTGCCGTGACAGAGATGGAACATACGACCATAAAAGAAGGCATACATGCAAATGTTAAGCTGAATAATTTGCAGTTAATTGTGCCAGATGTACTTGATGAATCAGGTAGTGGAATGCACACAACAGAAATGGATTTGGAGGATAATAGAGGGTTATCAGTCGAGATTAAAAGAAGAGAAACGATAACTGATGAAGTAGATGTAACGCATTCTGACATTGATCCACTTTCTTTAAGTCAAAATTTGTCCTCTGAAATAGACACACAAGAAAACCAATCAGAAATATTTTATGATAAAAAAATGGATGATCGGGTGCATGATACACCCAATATACCAAAGACTTGTTCATTAGAAAATAATGAACATAGTTTCAATTCTCCGCAAATTTTGCAAATCAATGAAGATAGTTGTGGATGCCCATCAGTTGTACATGGTAATAATGGGAGTAAAGATGAAAATGAAATTACAGTATTATCTGGAATTAACTATGTAGGTAGTATTGCCTGCACAGTTGTAAATTCCCAGGACTGTGAAGCAACCAAAATTTCATCTAGAGGTAGAGGTAGAGGTCGAGGAAGGAGAAGAGGAAGAGGAAGGAGAAAATGGAAGGGTGCTTCTTCAGTAAAGGATAAGACTTATTCATTTGTCAGTAACTGTGATTTGGAAGAAGTTTCTTATCACAGTGGTAATAATGGTAACTGTCTCGATACAGCTGAATGTGAGTTACCTTTTCAAGTTGATAAGAGGTCTATTGGTGTAACAGCAACATTTGATGAAGGAACTAAAAGATGTGATCAGATAATGTCTTCACAAGAAAATAATTTGGATATGAATGATACATCTGAGAGTAAACCCATTCCATTCCTGAAAGAGGGTGAAACAAAGGAAAAGTCATCAATTTCCACTGTTAATCCTGTGTCACCTACAGTTCGTGCTTATGACCAGAATTTGGAAAACATTACAGAAACTTGGGAACCTGTGAGAAAAAAACCCAGGAGCCATTCTGGTAGGAATATTGCAAAAGATATTGAGGATTCAGAGCTTGTAGAAAAAGTTGAGCATGTGTCACGTGGTGGTAGGAAGCTGAAACTTAAAGATTGGTGGACTGGTGTAGTGACCGATTCCACTTCACTTCGAAGTAAAACTAATAGTGGGTCTAAATTCTTGGTCCGATCAACTATAAAATCCCCCAAATTCAAAGATTCCTCAGTTTCAAAAAATAGTTTATTAGAATTATGTGGTGTTACAGAGGACCTCGAAGAAAGGGAAGAAGTGGGAAATGCTCCATGCCAACCAGTTGATAAATTGAAATCCAAAGAAAATATGCTGGAGAGCAGAGATATAACAGGTGATGCCTTGTCGACAGTACCAGAGGATGAACCACATACAAGTGTATCTGTGCCAGATGTAGGTAATGCCCAAAAAACCGAAATAGATAGAGAACGGGTTTCACCAGTACCTTGTGGTGCAAAACGTGGCAGAAAAAGGAAAAATCGCTCTTCAGGTTTAAACCAGAAGAAGGAAATAGATTCTGACTTAAGTCAACTAGAGGGAGAAGTAAAGTGTGGCAAGTGTGGCATTTTGTGTGAATCGCCAATACTCTTCAGATCACATTCTCAGCTTGAACACAATGGCTTAGCAAGACCTAATGGAGAGAATCAAGATTTCACTGATGATGAGGTTAAAAATATATTGAGCACTACAATAAAAACAATTAAAAGACTCAAATGCATGACATGCTTAAATGAATTTCGGTCTCTTTTAGGGTACACGAGACATATTTTAGCCTGCGGAGTTAAGAGTGAGGATCTGAACTCAAAATGTAAAATATGTTACAAGCAAATAAGATATTATTACTTAGATCTTCACATGAGAAAAAAACACTCTGAGAAACTTGAAGAACCCAAAAAGAATGTTGACATAACAGACTCTGGACTAAGGCCAAGGCGTAAGGCAGCAGCAAATTGTAATGCTAGGTTGCAAGTTTGGGGATCCAATAAAACTGGGGTGTGTGGAAGTGACATTTCTGATACTGAAGATGATTATCAAAAACAATTTAATCTTTCACAGTTTTATACAAAGCCTGATATGAGTATCCCTGAAGAATGTACTAAGAAATGGGAAGCTGATATTGATGTTAATGGGAAAGCTGAGTGTACTAATGAAGGATGCACCTATACATTTACAGCGATATACAAGGGAAACAAGCACTATCAGGATTGTCCTCATTCAACGTCTGGGAAAACATTCACATGTAGTATTTGTGAGTTCGTATCAGTCGTGGAAGATGAAATGCTGAATCACTTAACTTCGAATCACACTGATGTAGTTGCAGGATCCTTTGAAGGAAGTGATTTTGAGACAACAGACGAAGAAGAAGATGACACTTGGAAAGTACAGAAACCTTACATAAGAGTAACAAGTGGACAACTAAAGCCATTCCCATATGCTTTGAAGTGGACACTGGACTTTTTGAATGAGACCATTTCAGATAATCTTTTTTCAGATTTATGTATATTAAGAAAAGATTGGACCACACTTAATTTGCAATATGACAGAAAGTATTTACCCTCAGTTGAATGTAGCCCTAAGTTTAAAATGCAGATGGTTACTAGTGACAAAAATAAACCAGTGGAAGCATGGCAGCAACTGAACCAACTGAATGGAATAGTACAGGGAAAAGGGTATGCCATGTTCTGTGGTGGACCAGTGGTAGCCTCTGCTTGGTGCCCACAGCCTTCCTCTGTGTCTCTTAGTTCAGATACACAGCATTTGGCTCTGTCCTCTCTCTCTTCCCCTCAAACTAAATATCACATTCTTAAATCAGCCACCCATGAAGGACTTATACAAATCTGGGAGTTGTCTTGTTCAAATGAAAATGCAGAAATCCCACCCAAATTCCTGTTGGGCATAGCACATGACTTTGGAAATGTATGGTCACTTGTTTGGTGCCCATCAGGTACTTATGATTTTCAAGATGATGCTCCTATGGAGAAAGGCACTTTATCAAGATTGGGTCTTTTAGCTGCAGCTTGTTCTGATGGAACTATACGAATATTTGCTATCCCACACCCCAGTAACCTGAACTTTTCAGACTCTTGTAGAATATATAAGGTATTACCAAAGGTAACCCTAAGTCCAGGTAAAATGTACAAAGATGAAGCTCAGTGTCTCAAAGTTGATTGGTGTCGTGGGAAAGGGCATTCATATATTGCAGGAGCTTTTTCAACTGGTGTTGTGTGCATTTGGGATATGAGTAGTACATCTCCTTTAATAATGGTCAAAGATGTCCAGGGAAATTTCACCTTTTATCCTGTGAATTCTTTTCCTGCACATAATGGTGTCTGTTCTGTTGTAGCATTTTGTCCTACTACTGGAGGACGAAACCTGGTAAGTGGAGGTAATGACCGCACTTATAAGTTCTGGGATTTAGAAAACACGGACATGCCACTCTCTATAGCACGTAAAGGGTTGGTGTTAGATGCGGTTTGGCTACCTCATTGGGCTGGGTGCTTTGTTTCATTTGATGATGTTTATGGGCTTACAAACACAAACACCTGTTTCCGTGAAAATGGGTTCTTTGGTATACAATCTCGTAATGTACTTTCCTCCAATGCACCTGTTTGGTCTCTTGCTGGTTCTGACTGGCTCAATGCAATAGTACAGGGAGATTCCTCTGGGGAAGTGATGATCACTATACAGCAACAGCTTTTCAGGAATTACGAAAATGATAAATATCCATCAAAACGCAAGGTTCCATTATTATCAGTACGCTTGCAAAATATTTCAAAAACTACCCCAGTCTCTCTTCGTGTTTGTCAGGATTCAAAGTTGGGTACTGCAGAAAATTCTCAAGCTAAAGTTTCCAAGAAGCATAAAAAGCCACGACCAAGACAAGAAGAAAAAGATTCACTGGAGGAAGATGGCCTTTGTCCAGCCTCTTATATAGAATGGCCACGATCATATTTGGAGACCTATGAAAATTATGGCCTTGTGTTCTCAGATCAAGACAATGAAAACTTCTCCTGTATTCCAGATGTTGAAATGTCAGAACGTAAACGTTCAGATAGTATGCAGCCTGGTCCTGTGGCATGTTATCCAATGATGGCAGCCACTTCTGTTGCTTGGAATAACAACATAGGTGCCCATACTTGGATTTTTGTTGGCACTAATTCAGGAATTTCTAGAGTAGTAAATGTTAAGGCTTTAAAAACTGCAGAAGAAAAGGAATTTATTAATGAGACATGGAAGAGAAAAGTGAAGTAAAGGTTTAAAGCTCAGCTTGGATATGAATACTACTAAGTACTGTAGATGATATATGATGTAAGCATAAGGTGTGGATGCAGATTTATTTTCAAAGCTAAATCATTTATTTTTATGTTTTAAATTTTGTAGTTGGGACATAATGCTGTAGTAGTACAGTTTTATGGTTTGCTGGTTGTATTTTTATTAAAGATATGTTTTACGACCTAAGTAAAACTAGATATTTTTTTTTTTTAATTAAGGTTAAAAAATCATCATGAGAATAGTTTTATTAGAAGAATCCTCCCTCAGTTACTTCATGTGAAGTTACGCAATATTTTACTTACCGTACAGTAAAAACCTCATAATTCTTACTCTCCTAATTCAAAATCACTCGTAATGTTTGTTGTTACAAATTTTGTAATACCTGTACTGTATTTATAATTTTTTTAAATGTGAGAGACTTTTTGAAATACAGTATTATGATATATATATATTACAATTTTTGTAATATTTGGTGAAGTTTTGAATTATGAGAGACATTTACGAATATTACTGTACATATGATGCACATGTCGCCATGGGATGCGACCACCTTCCTTAGTGTAAATATGTACGGTATACAGTGACCCCTCGGTTAACGAACTCAATCCGTTCCAGAAGGTCGTTCGTTAACCGAAACCATTGTTTCAATGGGTTTTTGGGTAATTGGTTCCAGGTCACCGAAAATTTCCTAAATTCAACAAAAATGGTAAAAAAGTTCACTTACTTTGAGGTGTGTATGTAGAAGGCTCCTGGATGATGATGATGATGGGAATTACAATGGGGGTGGAGGAGAAGGAAGAAGAGAAGGCATTGGGGTGGAAGAGAAGTCACCCCATGGCACCATTTCACCCATAAAATTTTAGTTCTCTTGGTGTATTTCAAGATTATTTTCTTTAAATCAACTCTGCACTGCATTATATATTGTCAATATGTAAAATATATTTCAAAATGACCAATAATTTGCTTGGAAACACAGAAAAACAGCGTTTAGTTGAAGAGAGTCTCAAGCAAGATGTTACCTCCAGTGAAAACAGAGAGAGACTAACGCCTGTTTGCTGTGTTAAGAGGCTGGATGCTGCGCTTTAAACTAGTCACTTTACCTTCAATTATGTTCAATAATTGTTAAAATGACTAAAAAATTGAATATTAAAGTTTTAAAATTATTGAATAGTATAAACTTCTTGATATTTACTAAAATAGTTAGGAATTTAAGCCCTAGAACCGATTAATGTATTGGCGGACTGATACTAAAGCTGGTTGCCCGGCCAGTGCAAGCGAAAACATGTTGAGGTCTGTTCGTAAGAAATTCGTTAACCGAATTTTTGTTCGTTAACCGAATTGAAGATCCTTATGGAAGGCAGTTCGTTAACCGAAATTTCGTTAACCGAGGCGTTCGTTAAACGAGGGGTCACTGTACATGTGTCGGACAGTCGGTAAGGGTCTATGGTCTTTTGCGCAAGTTTTTTCCACTTGTTTTTTACCATTGCCCAATGTTTGGGCCATTATGTCTGATAACCCTAAATCTGGTACTGTACTTAGAAATTTTTTAATTTGCATTGGGGCAGATAATGGAAAAGTTTTGTTGTTTTGTTTGTTTTTCCAATAGGAAAAGGTGTCCCTTATAATTTGTAAGGGCCAGAGCCCCTATTGTTTTGAATTGGTTTTTTTTTTTTTTACTGTATTAACAGTTTGGCATACTGTGCTCCAATATTTACAGATGAAATGATAATATCCAGTGCATGTATAGTATTAGAGAAACACTGTGTGGTTTATAATTGCACAAAGGTATTCTCCTTTTATTCAGTGAATTTATTAGTTGAACAGAAATGCATCTGATATGTAACATAAATCTGTAGGATACTGTTGACTTGTAAAAAAAAAACCCTGTGTGCCTGTTTCTATCATTTACATGCATTTTGTCATGTACAGTAAAGACTCAGCTTGACCTCATAGAAGACATAACATTTGGAGAAACATTAAGTTCTTTGTTACAGGCCAATTTTAATTATTGTTCATGAGGTTTTTCAAGGTGGTCAATATAAATTTTAGAATATGTTCTGTGCAGGAAATGGATTGATGATGGAATGTGATAAAATTATTTTAACTACAGTATGGAGTGATATACAGTGGTGTAGAAGAAAGTACAGTATTGTAGAGATTATGAGTGTACTGTAGTCAGTGGTATTAAGACTCACATTGAGTTGCCCAGTTGTTAGATCCTTGAGGAAAATGGAATGTCTTATAAAACAACTTGGGAAAGCATATCATAACCTCTGTCATGCATTGTACAGATAAAGCCACCTTCAAGTTTATATATAGCGTTGATAAGAGTACAACTGAGTGCTCGTGCTCTCAACATATACTGTATGAATATACAGTACTGTATATTTTTTATCTCATCCCCTTAAGCTTTTGGAGGATAACTATGTGTGGAACTCCCTGCAAAGGTGACCACATGTAGAATTTTCACCATATATTTCAGCCACTAACACGGGAAGTTTTTCTTCAATATATGAAGAGTACTTAACTCATCACTGCCATGCTAAGCTGGTAGCAAGGATATGCTACTTTGCTTTTTGGGGATGGTACAAAAAAGATGCTAAGTAATTTTACTAAGTCTCAGCCACATGAATGTACAGTAGTTATAAACAATATGTAAATAGTAACACCAGTACTTGAAGCCTTTTAACTGGTTTCATTTACGATTTTTTTTAAGAAAGGCATAAGCGATTTTGTGATTCAGGTATTCCTCAAGTAACACATTTTAATTTTTTATACTACTGTATTCACCAGTTAGGGAAAAATGTTTACAAGTTATTATGTTTTGTTTTTCTGTGAGATTATTTTATAAAAGTCACTACACATTTTCAGTTAGTGCAACACTTTTTAGAAAGAATGTTATGTTAACCAAGGAATACCTGTATAAAGCATATTTAAAATACTGTATTTATAAATACTGATTACCAGTAGTAGCTACATTTCATTAGCATTGTCACTCTTTGTTTTTACTTTACAATATTACAGTATATTCATAAAACTCCTTATCATTACTTCAATGATATCACTTGATGATTTGCCCCACCCCCCTGCCCAGCTATTTTGCCTAAAGATAATTACACATATACTTGTCAAAATTAAACAAATCTAACTCAGGTAGAGGGTGGTTAATCTTTATGTGAAATATTCTGGGTGGGGGGATCATCAGGTAATGCATGTGCATAGCATGCATACTGTATTCAGAAAGCTAGGTAAATATTTTACTGGTACTGTACTGTACTTTATTTTAATGCCACATAGTCACTGTTCTATACTTATAACTTTTCTTATACAGTACAGGTATCCTTCACTTATGAATGGGTTAGGTTCCTGGAAAATCATTCTTGAGGTGAATTTTTGTACTGTACTGTATCTCGAGCAAAAAAAAAAAGGGAAATAGGTTTTGGTTCTCCAACGACAAAACTTCAATATTGTACCCCAAAAACATGAAATCGGTTCACGAACTACAAAAAAGAATATCTAACTAATGAAAAATAGTACCTGTACACTATTTAACAATTGTGCTTCTTCAAGCAACATTTGTATACAGTACTATCAAGATGAAAATATGTAGCTTAAACCACCACTAAGAAAAGGCTAAATGAAATTTTAACACAACTGCCATTTGCATAAGACACTGGCTGGATGTCCTCAGAGCTCGATATAGCCAACCATTAACAATGGGGCTCCCCCACTCAGCATGCTAATTCTCGCATACAAGGAAATGTTTATTTCCTGTTTGTTTTTTAACTTGATAGTTATTCTTTTACCTTTTTTGCACATGATGTATGAAGGCTTGTGTCTGCATGTAACTGAGTAAAAAAAAAAGGTGAAAAGGTTAAGATTATCTATCCAAAATTATGAGTTGAAAAATAACCATAACAGCCTACAGCTCAGTCTGGTAGCGATAGGGCGAGGTGGTTGCAGTGACGAGTCTAAATTGGTATTGTACATTGTTAAGTATAACACTTAAATAAGCGCACCACCTGCAGCTGTGAATTCAAACAAAGTGAATGGTGGGGGCAATTACTTTGAGAGAGGGCAATTAGGGTTCACCACAAAGGGTGGGAAATGGAGGAACAAAAGATGTGGGGGGGGGGGCAGTTTGTTATGATCAGTGAGCGAGGATATGTCTCTGTGCATCTCTCCAAGATGACTGCCCCGGCTGATTTCTGGTGGGGGGATGAATTCATATGGTGAGAATAGTTTTCATAAAATAAGAAAGGTGCTAAAATTGATACAGCTCGAACTTTCGTAAAGCAAGTGATACCTGTACCTGTTCGTATTTAACATTTTTACGCCTGCATGATAATTTTTATTCCACACATAACTTTGCCAAACTTAACTAGGTATATACTATGGTTACCTTTGTAGTGCTGTGACCATTCCCCAAAAGAGGGGGAGATCAGGAAGTACCCCTCCCCTAGGTAGAACAAAATAAAAATAAATTATCCCAGGGATTAGTATGACTTAAGTATGAAATGGATGTGTAAAAAAAAGAAGCCTATTTTGACATGTATATTTACACAGATATCTCTACTACCCTGAGGTAAGAAAAATGTGCCACTGAGAACCATATGGGTATCTAAATTCACTAAACTTGCCAAAAATTTGTCAGTTCTTGAGATACATGAACCATATTACTTTGAGTTTATAGTACAGTACAGTATTAAACTTGACAATCTTTTTACAAACCATACATAGTCAATAAACATGCGTTACATAGTTATTATTCACTTTTTCGAGGTTATGACAATTAAAATTTCACAAATACTTCTTGTATAACAAAGACTGAAAACAAAATTAAGCTGGGTTAATCTTTAGTCACCCCTAGAATTTGATTATTCAGAGGTACTGTATTGTAGCCATGAGAATGTGAACAGGCTGACTGTATATACCTGTATATATATTAAACTATTCATTTTGCACTGAGGACATGCCAGTGCTTCCCCAAAATATTATGTTTTGTTTTATATTGGGGGTTGACCCCCCCAGAACATGATGAAAGCCACAGCACTTTTAGGGATTCACACTAGCCTGTCAGGTACTGTACATTACTGTACTTGATTAGCACCTGTAGTCATTGCATAAGCATAATTATAACTATTGATTAAATTGATTAACATCCCACTCTTACACTCATTTCATCCAAGCAACTTTGAAAATATTTTTTTTGTTTTTACCTGTATACCATAGTCAGCCCCATGCCTAACTCTCCAGTCCGACTATCTGATAAAAGCTCATGCACTAGCACTATGCAGCTGTTGACGATATAATTGTTGTCTTTTTATGTGCATTTGGAGGACTGTCAGTTTTACCATTTTATAGTATTGAAGTTTTATGATAAGGTTGATGACAAGGTTTTATAATTTTTTTTATTACAAGTACCTGCACTGTACTGAACATTAAAAAACCTGAGTACTGGACTAATTAAGCTACAGCGACGTCGTTACTCAGACGGAATCCGTTATTTGGATGTCCATATAAACAGAGAGGTGTAACTATTCAAAACAACAGCCAGAATTTTACACTTAACACAGGTTGGCTTATTTAAGATCATAATAAACTCGCTCAAGTAAAATAATCTTACTCATGATATACTTTTTTTTTTTATACGTATAAAGTATTTATAGAAATTGGTAAGGTACTAGATTCTA